GTGGGGGGCGCTCCAAGAGATTAATCTAGATTTATGTGCATGAGAAATGGTCTTTTATGGGGTCCAATTCTTGATAACATTAGAAGGGGCAGTTTACAAGTGAAAAATTACAAGAGGGGCAGTTTAGGATCACAGAATTTGACCCAGGGAAGTGTTCATCAAACTTGATTTGGTTTCTACACATCCATATAAACCATGCCACCCAACAAGGGATCACCAAAAGCTTACTTTTACGTCAATCCTCCCAACAAGTAATAAACTTAAACCAACTTAAGTTGCAAGTATCAATGTTCAGAGTAGTTCTGACCAGATTTCTTGGGAGAACTTACAAGTGAAAAATAAGTGGTCCAAAGTTTCTTCCGAAGCATAGTATAGTGGGAAGATAGAAGGCCCTCTCAGCCCTTTTGTCTTTAAAATTTCATCAGTAGGGAGTAGAGAGTTCCACAATCTCCAATAGAAGAAGGACATAGAAGGGGTTAGAAGTTTACCCTAAATGGATTTTCTCCAAGTCACCTGATTCCAGTTAAAAAAGTGATGATAAATGTTGGTAGATAATTTCTGGGAATGATCTTGTTTGGTAACAATTTTGCTTTGAAATTAGATGAGAAGAGAGTATCTTTAACCCATCTAGTATGTTCACTGGATAGTACAATATTAGGAATTCTGCAGTTCCACTGATCTGCAGACCAATAATCTTTGACCATAGTTAAAGTTGGGGTTAGAGATAAGGCACTCAAGCTTCTTCCCATTGCTAACCCAGTTATGTAACCAAAAATTAACTTGACCTTCTCCCATCTCCCAAAAGAGGAGTTCCTCTGCTTGATTTCTGATGTTCAACATTTTGAACCACAGTTTGGAATCCCCCACTTTTTTGGTAACCAATGTAGGATGCATAGCTCTACAATATTTCTCTTTCAGAAATCTGGCCCAAAGACTGTCCTAGGCCCTGAATTTGATCCACAATTTGTAAAGGTTTATAAAACCCAAGTGTTGAAAGTCCTTAAAGACCATCCACCCAGCCTGCAAAGGCCTGCACAAATTCTGTCAAGAGACCCAGTGAGATTGTTTCCTTTGACCAGAACAAAGAAATTTATTGAAGATCCTTCCAATTGCTACTTGTATACCCTTTTGCATAGAGAGCATTTGAAGGACATAAGATGGCATGGCAGTCAGAATGCTCCTCAAAATAGTGATCCTCCCACCATTAGACATGAGAGAATTAGTCCAGCTATCCTGTTGTACTTTGGTTTGATCAATAACTTCTTGATATTGTATTTGTCTAGTTCTGCCTTTGAGTAATCGTACTCTAAGATATTTAATGGGAAGGTTAACATAGCAAAATCCAGTGTAATAAAAAATCCAGTGTCTGATCTAAGAATTGGAATTAGTGTTAACAAGAAATTGACATTTTTGTTAGTTAAGAGCCATACCTGAAGTATGTTGAAAGTGTAGGAGACAATTATGTATCTTCCTGACAAAATTTTTTTGAAGCATTAGAGAAGATAATAATATCATCAGCATAAGCTAAATGGATTATAATATTATTGGATATGTGGTGATATGCCAAATGAGGTGAGGCAGTAAACAACTTATTCAGTTGTCTAAAGAAATAGTCTAGAGCTAGAATGAAAATTGTTGGAGACAATGGGTCTCCCTGCTTGATACCCTTGGAAGCATTAAAGAAGCCATGGCATTTTCCATTAATCAGAACTGAATGAGAATTGCACTTCAGCCACTTGTAGATCAAATTGATGAAATTCTCACTAAAGCCTCTGACAGATAAAGTGTCAAGAATAAAATCCCAGTTGCTGGTGTCATAGGCTTTGCTTATATCAAGCTTGAAAATGGCATTTCCTCCTCTACAATTTCTTTCCAGATCCAATAGGAGTTCCTGGGCAAGAAGAATATTATTTGTAATATTCCTCCCTTTAATAAAAGTCACTTGATTGTCACTGATGAGGTGCTGAAGATGTGGCTGAAGCCTGAAAATAATGATCTCGCTGATCAATTTGGAGATCACATTAGTTAGGCTGATGGGCCTGTAATCCACCCAAGTTTTTCTGTTTTGATTCTTTGGTATCAAAGTAATGGTAGAAGCACTGAAGTATCTAGGGGAATCCACACCAAGAAAGATGTGTTGAACATCATGCATAATATCTTTACTGTTCTTGCCCCATGTGGCTTTATAAAAAGTTGAGGTATACCCATCTAGCCCAGCAGCTTTATGACCATCAATGGAGACTAAGGCAAGTTTTATCTCATCTTCCAAAGGAATACTAGTAAGATTTAATCCCTGGACATATTGTTGGCAGCCAAAAACTATATCAGCATCAATTGGGCTTCTGTCATTTTGGTTATTGGTAAACAGATTTTGGAAATACTGTATTGCATCATAAGAAATTTCATTAGCATTAGTCCGTTTCTGACCATTAGTATTGGTGATGCTTAGAATCATTTTGCACTTCCTCCTATAATTGATACAGGCATGATAGTATCTAGTATTTCTATCTCCATCAGTAAACTTAGAAACTGCTGCCTTCTATTTTAAAAAACATTCCTAGTAGTTAATTTGTGTAAGGAGTCTCTCATTTGCTTGATGAGCATAAAATTCAGAATTAATCCCCAATTGTTGTCCTTCTTCCAGTCTTTATACTTATTTTTGGATAGCTTCAAGTTGCTCATTGACATTACCAAATATATCCTAATTCCATTTTCTGAGATGGGAGGCCAAATGCTTTTGTAGAATCCACAGTCTTATCCAAGGGTTTGCACCATTATTAGACTCCCATTTTTTATCAACTTCTTGAAGAAACTCAGGATGTAAGGCCCACATATTCTGAATTCTAAAAGGAGTGTTAGGAGGTCTGACAGAATTCGGTATAGAGAAAAGAATATGTCTATGATCTGAACCAGCCATAGCAAGGCGTGTGACAGTAGAATATATATATATATATATATATATATTGCAAAAAGGAGCCTCTTTTGTCTCCCTCCGTGTTAATTACTTAAATATGATCAATACATCCAAACAGTGTTACAGCAGGGAGAAGAGAGAGAGTAAAGGCTACATCAAAATGTGAGGTAATTAAAAAAATACAAGGCATGCCTAAAAAAGAAAGTAAATAAAGCATCTAGCTCGTAGCAATTCTGAGGTAGGTTATTTGTAATGTGTCACCCTTTAACAGGTCAGCTAGTATCTGTGTAGGATTAGTAGCAACAGTTACTCTTTGGGATTCAGCACCTTCAATAGCTTGGTAGTTAGCTGGTTTGTTTCCCTCCCTATAGGTAAATAGTAATTCATTTGTATCTCCTTGGTGAGATGTTTTATCTTAATAATCCACCGTTGGATATGCCATGGAGGTATAGCAATACCTGTCACATACTCAATCACCATAGAGGAATCAACCTCAACTTGAATTTGTGTCCATTTGTTTATGACTGCCATTTTGATGGCCCAGTACAGAGCAGCTGTCTCAGCTTCCAAGGCATCTTTAACAATAATTGGAGCTTTGAAGAACATTATGCATCATACTTTGTAATCTCTGAATCCTGCTGTGTGGGCTGTAAAGCTTCTATCAGTGTTAACTTTAAGTTGGGGATAACTAGGTTTTTTCCAGAAGAATTTAATGACTTTACTATAGATTTGATCCAGGCTTTGGTTCATCTTAAGGATGTTTGGAAACCCCTTCCAAAATGATAGCTTTTTGATATAAGCAAGACAATTTGCCTCCACTGTTGCAGTATTCACCTTATGCTCTTCATGCTTGTCTTTGTTCCTTGCATTCTAAATGAACCAGGCTATGATGAAAGGGACTGTACATAGTTTAACTTTTTTCCAGTCTGACCAACACTTCTTAGGTAGTTCCCATTACAAGTTAATAGTGTTGATGGGGAGATTAATTGTGAGGGATCCCCAAACCTTCCTATAGAAGTCACACTGGAAAAAAAGATGAGTAGCTGTATCTTCACTGTTCTGGTAGGGATAGCATTTTGAAGATCCCTTCAAACCCTTTAACTTGAGAATATCATCAGTAGGGATTAAGTTATTTAGCACTCTCCAAGAGAAGAAAGCCATAGAGGGGGATAGGAATTTGTTCCACAGATTTTCACCCCAAGAGGTTTCCTCCCAGGTGAACAGCTGATTGTAAATGGCTTGGGTCACACTTTGGGTTAACTTTTATAATCATCCGATCTTTATTATTTATGTCAAATTGGATTATAGATATCTGCCTCATGGAGTTTTCTGTGACAACTTTTTAGAGTACTTCCTCAGACCACTTCTGCCCCTCCTAGCAATCCTTCACCATTAGGTTCTTGTCCAAATTCTCATCCAAAGGTTCAATAGTGTTCTCTGGGCACCATTTGTCTTGCTAAAAGTTGATGTTCCCTTGACCAAACTCCCAAGTGTAGAGATTTTCAGCTTGTTCCTTCATTTTCAACATCTATTT